CAACCCCATGCCTAGAGCGATTCCAAAAAGGAGTGAGCGCTGTTCAACGCACAGTTGAATGAAAGTGTGATGTCATCACACGCTCGTGAAGCTAATCGAGTATGCATTTTTTAAAATGTTACACTTGTTGCGTTTGTTCTATTTGTGTGAACTGCTACATTGGTTATATTTGTTAGTTACATTTGTCACATTTGCTTATTTGTGACCTTTATTATATTGGTTACACATGCTCCGTCATGCAAGATGCACCTCAATCGCAACTTGGGCTGACACATAGCATTTGCATGCAGTACTGCTTCAAATTCTTTCAACACTGGCAGATTGGGTCTCAGGTGGCTGGGCAAAGATGTCACCAGCAGCTTCAACGAGGTAGACTTTTACAACGAGATCCTCCATATGCGGCGCCTGTTGCAGCAGGACATGTTTGGCTTTTATGCGACGCTGCCTCGATGCCGTTGGTGTATGTTCTCTAGTTCTCCAGTCCCACAAAGTTGATAAAATAGAGATAGATATTTCCTGCAGTGGTTTCAATCCGACTGCCTCACGACATGCAAAAGCGGAAAACAGTATTACATAGAGTTAGAGTCGTCACTTTGATTTGAAAAGCACGTGGTGTCGGCCAAGAGGTGTTTGGGTCAACAGGTACTGGCTGGTGCAGTTGTGTGTACTGGCCATTTGTTGGTTGTGCCACTGCAAGCGCGCATGACTAGTGGGACCAAACCGCAGGATGTCCCAGCAGTGGGACGGATGTTGGTCATGGCGAAACTGCCTGTGCGCAGGATCCACCTCTTCAGCCAGTGCTGCCGAAACTGTCTGAGACTGAATAATGAATATGATGAGCGAAGTGCAACTGGTCATGACATATCATGACCAGGATCCACGAATCTTTCAGACCAAGCAAGATGTTCCCAATACATTTGTTGACTTGTTTGTCAAGCAGCTTCCTGGATAGAATATTCTTAGAGCAATATTTTCTTGTTATGCCTCATTTTGCAATATTTAGGGCCGAGCCAACTGAGTTATTTTTGATGGCAAAACTCGGCTGAGCGCTCTGACCCAATTCACAGGTCAAACGTGTTTTTTGGTTTTCGCTCATTTCGTCAACCGCCAACTAAGGGGGCAGCAGGACGGGACCTCAGATGTGTTTGCAATGGAAGCCAGTGACGCTGGTGGATTTGGTATCATTGGATGATGCATTGATTTGGTAACATCAGGTAGGGCATCTTCATTCCTCTGTCAGTGTGGTAAAATAATTCCACTTTTGCAGCATCACATACAACATGAAGTGATGGACCCTTTTGGGACTTAATTATGTCGTATATTCCTGATATGAGCCCAGCCCAGCCCAATCGCATGAAAGACCTTGTTTTGGATCAACAGTTGAGCTGCACATTCTGCAGGTGAAAGAGGAAGATCTCAGTCAGACAGGTCCATGGGGCATTGTGGACTTTATGGTCAGCTGAAGCCTTAGCATCCTTGGAAGTCAAAAGGGCTTGCCGTTGGCCACAAAAGTGTCTTTGTGGGAACTCAAAGGGATTTCGGAGGTCAACATGATCCGCCAGGATTGCATGAGGTGAGAACTCCTTGAATTTCCTTGAACCAATCTGAATTGAATGTGCAGCTGATCCGAGGTTATCATGGGCTTGCCCGGTCCTGCACATGCTCATGGGTTGCAGACGGTCGTGAGTTTGACTCTCAGCTTCCAGACGGTCGTGAGACTGTAGTGGATATAGCGGGCAATACACCACCGGTAAAGCAGCAAGCAACTTCAGATTTCCAGACAAATGATCGGGAAAGCAGCTTTCAAATTTCCTGTCTCCTCCCGCAGTCCCTGAAAAGGTGTGTGCTCTGCAGGCTTCCTGGGCCCCTAGCTCTTGACGTTCTTGACGGCTGCTTTGTTTGTGCTGCATAGACTCCAGGTGATCACGCATTCCTAAGTTTTTTTGCGATGGGCGGTTGCCTTGCTCTTTGGTAACTTGCACTTCTTCCCTCCCAGGCGACAACGTGTGGCTGACTTGCTGGTCTTCCGGAGCCCCTTTGAGGGACTAGCGCTTGGATGCCCGGAACTGGAGTCCTGCCAAGCAAGGCCCTGTTGCTTGGTTTGTCAAGGATGCCTTGGTTGGACATCCTGTGCTCCTACTGCTAACTTCTAGTGGCTTTAGCGCCGAATCCTATTGGGAGAAATCGTGGAAGGACCAGGATCAACCCTAGAATGCCTGCAGGATCCAAAGACCAAGAATACAAGTTATGAAGTCGAAACAACTCATGGAACAGCCACAATCTATGCCTCATCCGGACCTCCAAACCCTACAAGAAGGATAAATAAACCTTCACAAAAAGGCCACCTTGATCAGCAATGCGGCCTCTAGGCGACCTCGGATGCTTCATTTAGAGTTGGGTCCTAGAAGCTTGGCCGGCAGCCGAGCGGCCACTTTCGGGTCTGGGGGGTCGAAAGGCTTTGACATGCTTTGATGCTGATAGTTTTCCAAGTCGACAACATTTGACACGTGAGGCTTTTTTGTGGTAAGATCTCAGCTGAAGCATTGCCACTGGAGAAGAACACGCTTCAGCTTTGCCACGCTTTCGCACGCTTTGCTGCTCCGAGGCCCTTCAGGCACGTCATGAGAATCAGATCTCCACAGGCATCCTTGCGCGCCAGGAGCTTCAAATACGACATATGACGGATTCCTTGCATTCATTGTTAATTACTTTCCTTGGCTGCGCCTGTTGGCTGCACCTGTTGGCTGTGCCTGTTTGCTCCACTGCGCTTACTCCGCCGCTTTTGCAGGAAGGGATCTTCGTTGATGGCTTCCTTTCACCACCGGAGAGCATCTCCAGCGAAGGCCCTACTTTGGACCTACGAGGCGACCTGTTGGTTAGCCAGGTCCAGACTTTGGACTCGAATGGGCAGAATGCGGTGTCTGAAATGGGTTCAGTCTTTGAAGTCAGTTCAAATTGAACTCCCTTCATCACAAGTCACAAGTGACTTCTGATCGAGGCATACACCTCACATCCTTCACATCCTATCGCAGGCTGGTCCTGGGGCGACAATACGCAACGACGAGCCAAGCGGCTTCCGCTTCAACGGATGCAACTCTCCCAGGCCGCTGCGGCAAAGCCTGGCTGTGAGTATCCAGTATCCGTTCAATCCTTCAAGACCTACTAGCGATGGCCTCCTCCATTCAGATCAATTTTTTTAAAGATTGTCACACACACACAGGCTTGATGAATGGTGCGACTCATTGGTCTAAAGTTATTTACGTTTGGTCCAGTCAAGTCGCCTAAAAGAACCAGTAGCAGCCTCAACATGCCGCAGCCGATAGCCCACCCTTTGATCCCTATCTTCAGGCGCTCAGTAGCCTCTTGGATTTACGAGCGGCTATTGCAGAGGACCATGCGCTACTTAGTTGGGAGACTCTTCTGATGAATGCCAGAGACTTCAATGGATGACATCACCCTTCCAGGAGCGTTTTTGGCCGAGCGAGGACAGCTTTGTGAGTGTCTCAGACAACGTGCTCAGCCAATGTGTTGCTGAAACTGCCTCTGTGTTGACAGTTATTCTGGTTTGCTTGGAGCTTGACAGCTTCATCTCCCCCAGATGGAAATGAATTACTGTGAAGAATCCATGCACATTAAGTTTGGATTTTTGTAACTGTCGGCCATGAGGATGACTTAGCATATTGAATTGGATATATATATATATATAATATACACATATAGTTGTGTGAAGGTGTGCGTTAGGGTGAGGTGTGCTCAGGTCCCTGCACGACCTGGAGCTCGAGGCAAGGCGGACTAGCAACCCCTGAGCTTTAGTCCACAGGTTTGGCTCACACTCGAAGACTCCAACAGGCTCCAGACAAGCCAAGAAAACTGGAATCCCTGTCGCCTGCTTTTGCACCAAGCGTGTTGGAGGTGCGGATGCATTCCTTCACAACTTCCTATGTGCGGCTGAATATTCAGAGCTGGCCTTGCTGGCATTTGTGTATGAGACTCAGATGCTCTTCTCCGAGCATGTTTGCCATGTTGATTTTGGGTTCCCGTTCATCTACACATCATGCCAACTGTGGTATTGCGATTCTACGCTTTGCGCAGTTTGCTTCGACGCGCATGTTCACACGGGATTGAAGCATGCATTGTGTGTGTCATTGCTTGTCACTACAACATTTGCTCCAGAAAGTTTTAATTGCAGTAGGTCCGCGACAACTGACTTGGATACTTTGCTTCACTGCTTGTGAGGTGCGAGCTTTCACGGCTGCTGCGAGCATGCGAGGAGGTACCAGTGCCACAGAAATGGGCTCGGGTCCCAGGACATGAGCATTGGTGCATGCGCCAGCATGCTCAACCAAAGCCGGATCCAACAGATTAGTCTGGGAAGTTGCTTGAAATTACTGAGCCCAACGTCGGCCGATTTGCTAACGTGCTCTCAACAAAGGTTGGCGGAACAAATGTAAGGTGTTTGACGGTTTTTGCATGCTCTTGCATATTAATTTGCAGGAAAGTTCGAAAACTATGGAAAACTGTGTAAAGCACATGAAAGCACGAGATTGATGAACGGGCATCACCACTAGCACTTTGCAGCACCGCTGGAAGCCTTCTGATCTCATTGCTTGTTTTCAAGTGAAGGGTTGAAGTCGCCCCTTCTTTTTCCATTGATTGCATCGGCGAGGTGCAAAGCTCCCTGGCATTGCTGGTGGAGGTTTGGGTCATGGGTTCCACAGGGCACAGACGATTCATGAGAGAAACAAGATGCCCAATCGGCAGGAACCAAACAGTCTTGCCTTTCCTCTTTCGAAGCTGGCACTGAGTCAAGAAGTGTAAACAGCGAGACCGAAGCCCCAACATTGAAGTTTGACCGAACTTACTTTCAAAGCTTGTCGGGATGTCCTGGCCCAAGCGTGGTCCCATTTTGCCCGATCGGTGGCGCTTGTCATGAAAATTGAAGCATGTGATGATATAACGACTCTCGGCTCTGTGTCTAACTATGGAGGCTCCGTGTCTACCTCTGAAGGCAACGGCAAGCTACCAGTCACTTTGCTAAGTGGCTTTCTGGGAGCGGGCAAAACGACGTTGCTGACTCATGTTCTGAACAACCGTGAAGGCATCAGAGTTGCCGTTCTGGTGAATGATATGGCATCTGTGAACATTGATGCACAGCTATTACAGGACCATGTTCAGCTTAGTGAAAGTAAGGATAAGATGGTCGAGCTCCACAACGGCTGCATCTGTTGTACATTGCGTGAAGACTTGATCGAGAGCGTTCGTGCCTTGGCCCTGGAAGGGCGCTTTGACTACCTTCTCATCGAGAGCACAGGCATCTCGGAACCGATGCCGGTCGCCGCCACCTTTGCAGCGACCGACGCCATGGGAGTTCCGATGCTTGGAGGTGTAGCGGAGCTGGATACACTGGTGACGGTGATCGACTGCCTGAATTTCCTGAAAGATTACCACTGCAGGGACAAGGCTGTGGATCGAGATGAGCTGGGAGCTGAAGCGACTGACCAGCGAAGCATAGTAGATTTGCTGGTTGACCAGGTTGAGATTGCTAATGTGCTGGTCCTCAACAAAACAGACCTGGTATCTGCCAAAGAGCTTGAGTGCCTGAAGAGAATCTTCCACAAGCTGAACCCGAGTGCGCGCTTGATAGAGAGTCAATTTGGGGCGGTGAAGCCCCAGCTTCTGATAAACACGCGGAGCTTCGATCTGCAGACTGCCAGCCTGCTGCCAGGATGGGTGGCTGAGTTGCAAGGCCGCGGGAGTCAGCACACGCCAGAGACTGAAGAGTACGGCATCTCCAGCTTCATCTACCGCAGGCACTTGAGTTTGACATAGTTTGACTCGTTGTTCAAGAATGTTCCTTCTTTCGATCTCAGTAGCCATGACATGTGGACTTCCATTGTCATGATTCTGACGCCCCTCCCACCAATGCAAGCACCTCGCAGGATGTGCCCTTTCCACCCGGATCGCTTGGAGGGCCTGGTGGGTGGCGCTTTCCCCGGGGTGCTCCGATCTAAAGGCTTTGCGTGGTGCGCCAGCCAGCACGACACCTCCCTGGAATGGAGCCAGGTGGGTGTTACTGTGCAGTAATGGCGGGCGGGCCTCGGAAGTGTGCTTATCAATTGTTGAAAGTCATGGAGAATCCTGTAAAACCTTGTATCATGACTGCCAAAGACCATGTTGACAGACCCACCGAGCCGAGGTTGGATATTTTAAGAGGTGGAACAATAGGGACCTGACGAATCTGGTATTGGGACCCATATGGACCCATTACCCCTACCCCTACCCATGGGTACGACCAAGCCCATGGTGCCAGGCGGGCGCAGTGATGAGCCTCACCGAGGGCTATGCCTGGCGACAGCTTCAGCTGCCAGTGATAGGCCAGAAATGGGGACATCTCAAGATTATGATCCCATTTTGAAGTTGTTATGATTAAAGATTCCCACATTTCCAGGATGAGCAGTTACTGACCTTGAAAGAACCACCAGCAAGCTGGGGGTGTGGGAGGGGCCGTTGGTCAACGAAGGTTGCTCAACCGTGACTTTGGAGCAGTTTGGGGCTGAACTCGTGATCCTCCAAGCCACAAAACCATCAAATCATGGCAGGTGAGGCAGGGAAGGAGGTTGACTATTACAGTGGCAGGCGACAAGAGCTCCTGAGCTTTTCTTGGAGATGGTTTGGATTTGTTTTGCATAGTTCCCGAAAACGGACTTAATTGATTGACTCCTGGTACTTTGTGGTCAAGCTCAAGCACAATATCATCCAAAAAAGAACATAGATTAAATATGAATATCGATTAATATCACTTTGTCTTACTTTCATGGCCGAGGCTTGTTTTCATCGGCGCCCACATGCAGGAGAATGAGATCCGGCAAGCCCTTGACAAGGCCTTGGTGACCGATGAGGAGTTCGCATTGGGCCCCTCCAAGTGGTCTTCTTGGAAGAAGCTGGTGACACCAAATCATCAACATCACGGACATTCTTCCTGCGAAGAGGGCTGCCAGCCCGAGATTGAAGAGTGGTCCGATATGATGCTTGACTGGTTTCCCGAACTCGTCGATCCGGAGATCCTGGCGCGTCCGGACGTGGCGATCAGCAAGCTCAGTGACCAGGAGCTGAAGGCAGCCCTGTCGGTACGCGGCATCGAGTTCGGAAAGGACGAGGAGCGGCAAGCGCTTGAAGAGATGTTGCGACCGCATTGGTGACCATCAACCTTTCCCACCCAACAGAAACTAGCCATGGGCCAGGCACTAGCGAGATTTTGGTGAGCACATCAGCACATTGTGCGACTGCAGGCTCAATTCTCGTAATTGCGGAGGGGTTTTGTTTCAGTAATTCATTACGCAACTGCATTGTGCTTCAGAAGCAGGCTGCTAACCAGTGCTGGCTTTGTATCTTGCTTTTGGCTACATGCTGCAAGAAAATGTGGCGTGAACACAGCAATGATCAGAGCCCACGTCAATTTCAATGCCGGGCAAACAGTTTTATAGTCCATATTTGCAGAAGGCAACTTTGATGATTTGTTTGTGACTGCCTGTGGAGCTGGAAAACGTCTAGCTTGCAGTTGTTTGTTCATCTATATATACAAATAAAGTTCCCCAAAACATCTAGGAACCAAATCATTAAGCCTGATCCCTTCTGCATCCAAGCCTAAGAAACTACTTAAGCTTTAGTAGCTACTACCTACTCGCCTTTTCTTTTCGCACTTTGCTAAATCAAATCGAGAACTTTTCGTCCCAGCTTCCGTCCTCTTCCGTTCGCCCCCTCCGGTCAGTCTCAGGCGGGGGTCGCTCCACCACGGCGCGGGCCCATCCAGCCTGAGACGTGGGTGACTTCACGAGTGAAGTCCGGAGACCCGAAAGGTCCAAACCGGGACCGGGGACGGCGAACGAAGACAGCGGAAGGAGTGGTCTTGGATGGTGATGGAAGGATGATGGTGGGATGTGATGGGATGTGATGGGATGTGATGGGTGTTGGTATGTGTGTTGAGTTCAGTGGATGAAGGTGTGGGATAATGATTTTTTGTGATTCCTTCATGGTCGTTTTGGCAACTTTCCCGCTGGAGAACACTGAATGCCGGGTCTAGTGATTCAGATCGAGGGAAGGGATGCCACTGTATGTGCTGGCATTCTGTTACACAAATCTGCGCAGGCAGGCCCAAAGGAGTCTGCGCTTCACGTGCTTGACTGCAGGGTGCAACAGGAGGGTTGACATGTCGAATTGAATCCTCAGGATTCAGATCCTTGGCTGGAGCAAGAGCAGCCTGAGCCTGCCGGGCTCGACCACGCAGGATGAGCGCCAGGCCGGAATAGAATGCAGTTGACAGCTACTAGTATTGTACACAGTGTTTTTCTGTCTGTCCGTCCGTCCGTCTGTGTCTTTTCAAGAACATCACGGAATAGTCTTCTGCTCTGACGTAAGGTCTATGAATGATGTCAGTGGAACTGTAGAGCCCATTCGGCTCTGAGGACAACGAGCTTCCATGGCAGATCTACCAGCACCATGTTGGCCAGCATCTCAGAGCTTGATTCCTAAGTTGCAAAGGATTTCACTTCCAATTGGCAGAGTCAGAAAACACTGGATGATTGCCCATCCCCTTGACTCTTTAAATGCGTGTTTGCAGCACAAGTTCTGCCTTGAAGTGGCCCATGTTACTGCACCCACTGGACCATAGCTGTGAGCTCTTGTAATCGGAATGACTTTGCGCAGTCGTACACCGTTGATTCAGCCGACAGCGATGCATTTACCCACAGCTTGTGACCACGTTACAAAGGCAGAGTTTTGTGGGAGTCTGCGCGGCTCTATTTCCATAGCTTCTGCGCTGAGGAGCATCTTTTTGTTATTTTTGTTTTGTCAAGTGTACAAACTGCTTGGGAAACCATTATATAAGCGATTAGGGACACATCAAATATGCACTTGCATCGGTATGTTGGAGATCTGAATTGATAAGTAGTAAGTAAAGGCTTACAATTTATCTTGCAGGATCCCTAGCTGACTAGACCGGATTGTCCACACGAGAAAGATGAGAAAGCAAGCAGCAATGCATATCCATCCATTCGACACGAATTCGCTGGTTGTTAGGAGTGGGTGAAGTTCACAGTGCAGCTTTGCGAGGTGTCCAAAGGCATCAGGTTTGTTTCTTCGTGTTTGCTTGAGAAACTTCCCAAGATGCCTGGTGTGGGCGATGTAGGATTTGCAGCGATCCAACATCCTTGCTCTCAGCCTTGACAGTGCCAAAAAACTACATGGATTGCTTGTGTGTGTTTGAGCTTTTCAGGTACTACTTTTTCTTATTTTACTTTCTTTTTGTAGAGGGTACCTAAGGATCCTACGGTACCTTTCAGATCTTTTCAGGGTAGTATTATATACAGATATACTGTAATGCTTCAGGGCTTTTGAACAGAGTTCCTCTTCAGATCTCTTCAGGACCTGCAGACTTCCTCTTTGCGTTGTCTCCATCCTAAGAGCGATGGCCTCCAACCCTATATAATAGCAATGGCCTCCAACCTACTAGCGATGGCATCCACCCTACTAGCGATGGCCTCCAACCTACTGCAGAGCTCCTCTTGCGTTTTCCGTTTCAGGTGGAAGCAGCCTCCTGGGCACTGCAGAGCTGAGCAGCTTCGGCGTCGGCGGCCGAGATCAGCCGCATGGACACGGCGACATACGATGTAGCTTATTGTTTCTAATAGCTTCTTGTCACTACTAGTAAGGCACTTGTTACTAGAAGCGATGCACTTGTTTCTAGTAGCTTTGTAATTGATAGTTGTTTTATATGTTGTTAACGTATATAAAAAGCTGCATGTAAATAGATGTAAATAGCATGGCACTGGGCATGAAAGTCAAGAAGACTCACTTTGCACAATCCTTCGCAAGCAAATGCAACTCCTATGATCTATATGCCAAGACAAACTCCCTTTTGTGAAGAGAGATGTCCTTCATCATTAATCATTCCATGTTCGTTCAATCGACTCGGAGCTTTAGAGCTACAAAGACACAGGACTGCAAACGCTACATGTTGAAGTTGAGGCCTGTGAGTCACGTACTCTCAAGCTACACAAAGGACTCCGGGTTGTCTCGCCGTACCGGCAACACGCCGCATCGCCGCACAAAGTGTTCCCGCACCGCAGAAGACGGTGTGTGCAAAGATACGTAAAGCAGCATCGAAGTTCAATGCACAAGTCTTGTTGCCGACAGCAATGCCGTCAGCCATCGGTCTTTGCCTACTCAAAGTGCACGGAAAATGATGCTTCAACCTTGAAGAGGACCACCCACAGACTCGGGGAATCTGTGAGAGCTGATTGTGTCCTTGGGAGCCCGTTGACGGCTTTATGATAATGTAGCGAAGTCGAACATTGCAGTAAACTCAATGACTCACTGTAGCACCGAAAGTTGAATACCGAATGCCCTGTGGGTTGCCTGATTGTTGAGTTCATTCAGGTGATTGTGAGTCTTTGGCAAGGACACGCTCCTTGGCCGATGGCCTTGCCAGGAGACACACCTCTCACCAACAGTATGGGGCGGCCCACACAGGCCATTCCATGCACATTTCCCGCTTTCGAGATCGATTCCTCAAACTTTACAGTATTCTGCCATCGTTCTTTTTTGGGGGGTCATCAGGTAGTGGTGACCTTGAAGTTCTTGCCCTTGCCAGAGCCCTCGAACTTCACTGGACTTTGGTCAGCCTCCAAGATGCGGGCACGGGTCACTTGACTGTTCAGCCTCCAAAGTCCCCACGTCGAGACCTGCACTCCACACATGTCAGTCCTTCACATCGACGAACGAACGAACGCCACGAGCTTTCTCAAAAATCTGGCGGACAACAAACAACTGGATCAGGAGACTGACACCATTCCTTTGGCTCTCAAAGTCCACGAATGCCACTCTGTTTCAGGCAGCGAGATCATTGAAAGGATACCCGTAAAGGCTACCTCTTTTAGCTTATGCAAAGAACTTTTGGCCTTTGACGTGTTCCAGATTCCAGCTGGTCTCTAAGGCAAGCTCAGGTGGAGCGTGCCGAACATGTGGAAGCCGGAAGCTTAAGGGTGAACTGACCAGTGAAGCTGCAGCTTCGCGTCTGTGAAGCGTCTGTAAAGTGGATGTTGGAGGATTTTGGGCATGGACTTCCAGGAATCCTGGACTAAAAACCCATTCAATTTGGACTGTTTGTGGCTATCCCAGGTTGGATAGTCTTTGTGGTTCCTGAGGTTGGAGCTGATAGTCTTTGTGTGATGCTTACAGCTACGAGCAGGGGTGCCCGGGGTATCTCAACTATCTCAGCTGCTTGGAGGTTGCAAAGGACAATGCTTAGAGGGCTCACAAAGCGAGGGGTTAGGGTTGCATTGCATGTTTCCAGAAAAGACCTATAGAAGATTCAATCCGTATCATAGAGTAATTTCATGTCTTTTGATATCTTTTGCAAGAGTTCATCTAGCTGCCGAGGCCGCCAACATAGCATGAGCCACAGGACCCGAGAGGCCCGGCTTCATTTTTGAGATCCAGACCTTGTTTCCGTGGTCCAGCTATACTGGAACAGCTGCGTCTGTTCGCAGCAACACCATTTTTTCTCTTTTATTTTCTGCTTGTACTCTATCTTTTTTTGCTTTTATTTTTCCTTTATCACCAGTTTGTTTTCATTTTCTTGTCTCTATATATATGTCTTGTTTGTCACAGTGGCTTTTCGGCGAACCTCACCGATAGCCTTGCCTATCGTTCTAGGTGCCAAATGCGGCGGAGGTGTCCTGGAACGAGGAGTTCGAATTCCCCATCATTCCGGTGCGCTGTGCTCTTTCCTTTTTTAAGGGGGGTTAGGCCGCTAGAGGTGAGGTAGGTAGGTAGGTTAGCTAGGGAGTCGGTAGCTAGTAGGTAGCTGCTACCGACAAGACGCAGGACCCTCCCTGAGATGTCCTCATGGAAGCTGAGCAGGGCCTACTTGTAGAGAATTGAAAATGGTTGGAACCCAAAGGCCGACCTGTTTCACTTCCATGATTGTTTCAGACTGTTTGATGTCACGGAAGGTCATGTAAATGTAGACAGTTGATTCATCACCTCCCCCCTTGTTCTGGACCGTAACACCCTCTTCATAATCTCGGGTCTATTTTTCAACAGGCTATATACATGATTTTTGTTGGTTCAATTTGGGGACTGGGGGAGTTCTACAAATTCATGGAAAACCACCATGCCATGTGCCTGGCACATCGGGAACTGCTTGGAGTATCCACGACCAGATCGGGCACCTGGCCGTCGACTGCGCCTGCCGCTCTGGACCTGGTTACACAAGGAAGGTGACCCAACAAACGTTACCGCCGCCCCCAGTAATTATAACATATATATATATATATCCAAAAGAAAAGGGGAGTTTTGACGATCCAAAACTGCTGTTTGTAACTTTTGTAACTCTACTCTCCAAGTCTACTTTTGTTGTTTCACGACAACAGGTGGATCGATTGCTTTCCCCCCGCCGCCCTGAAGGCGGCGGGGAAGCTTCCTTGAAGAAGTACTCGCACAAATGATTTTGTTTCTAGATTTTTAGGGAATGTTATATAACTAGTGATTTAGTTCGATTCCTTTTGCTTCCTTTGAGCACAAGAACTTGGTGCTCATTTGTTTGGTGGCCACACAGTTGTTACTGCTCATTATGCAGGCAGATACCAGAACAAAGTGCTTGGAGGTCTTGTTGTTCCATGTTTAGAATATGACATAATCTGATCATTGAATCACCAAATGAGCACTTCAACTGTGCTCGTTCTCGTTCGATCTTATTCTGGACCTCTATTATCCATATATGCACTCTCCGCGGCGTGAAAAAACGCTTGCCAAAGTGGGCGGAAGTTCGCCGCAGGTGGGAAAGGAAGCTGCTTCCGGTCAGCGACTTTTGGAGGCAAAGTGGGCGGCAGACTGGCACATGGTTCCTTTTGAATTCAGAACGATATACTATCAAATCGAATGCAGAAGGATTAAAATGAGTAGATGAGTGTTCAGTGACATGCATTCCTATGAGAGGGAGGTGCATTGTGCATCATTCTGCGATTGGCATGACTTCGAACAGTTTTCCTACCTTAGTACTGGGGCCCCAGAGGAAGCTACCTTTGGCACACTCTGTGTGGAACGTTTGCTTTTAGCTGGTCAATGTGTTGACTATACTTGACTACTTGAGGTTGACTTTGGATTTGCAGTTTCACTGCGAACTACTGAGGGTTCAAGGAAGTGTTGCTGGAGCTGGGATGTTCTGAACTGGGCTACCGCAGTAGCGTGCAGCATGAAACTCAGCTCAGGCCTTGGGACAGCCGACAAAGAGCATCACACAAGAGGTGCCAGGGCTGTGATGCAAATGTCGCTACCACCTAAAGGGGTGGCACGTGTGAGAGTGGCACTTTAGCTTCCGCCGTCCAGCCATTTTCTGGGTGAACAAAAACAGAAAGCAGGCTCACAGACCACTTTTTTCCAAGGCTCTGACAGAAAGCATGGGTTTGAAGGGAGGCTTGGCGAGGCATTTGCCGCCGTGGCTTGGAAGCGGAATAGACATAGTGGCTGCACTTGTGGAGGCCATCGCTAGTAGGTTGGAGGCCATCGCCCATCGCACTAGTTGGAGACCATCGCTCTTAGGATGGAGGCCATAGCTAGTAGGGAGGAAACATATTAGTGACAACACTACACGCTGTTGGCTGTAGCGTGGTTTTCATAGTCATACTGTCATACTGCCAATTCCTGTTGCACAGACCTATACCTCGTTGCAGCCAACAAATAAATGCCATTGCTTAGTGATAGCTAGCTCTTGACACGGTTTGTGTGCCCCGCCTGTGTATAAATAGAGACACTCAGACGCTCAGACACAGAACGGGTGCATAGCTTTGGACGACAAGAGCCCTCACTGACTCACCACCTCTACTCTTGCCAAGGTTGGTCTTCGAAGAGGGCAAGAAGGCCAGAGCGCTTCACATATCATACAGTCAAATGCACCGGAACACTGTCAATATCATGCTTGTAAATGCAGCATGCATACAATTTGATATTCAAATTGTAGTGATTATTGGTGGGCATTTCCGACTTAGGAAAGCATCCAGTAACAAAACCGAGACGGAGGAAGTATGAACCGGACCACCAACCACATAAGGGGATCCATGCTAGGTTCCACCTAACCAGGTACTGCTCGCACTCGCTTCTTTGCATGGATTTGCCATCCTCCCTGGCCAACCTTGTCAGCGTGGGTAGGAAGATCCACGAGCTGCCAGCGCTGGACAAGTGGCTTTCATCGCCGAGTTGCGTTCCGGCCGGAAGTTCTGGACGTTCATGGGATCAGCAGAAGCTGCAGAAAATTATACTGGTAGTGATAGAGAGGTACTCTGTCTTTGGTGTTACCAGGAATCGAGTCATTTGAGGCTAGAAACACTATTGCCCACCCACCTCCCTGCTCCTTTGCGTCCTTGAGCTGTTGTCACAGATTCTTAAATCTTTCGTCAGGCTGGTATGAACCTCGGTGTGGTTTGCTGGACAACAACTACTGAGCGCCACGGGTGATTCTTAAGGCGGCAGTGCTCGGCCCACGTAACGTATGCGGAAAGGAGCTTTGACCATCCAGGACCTCCCCGTTTCGTAGACGTTCCACGTTCAGTAAGGCTTTGTCACAAATGTGAACTGGGAAAGTCCGTGTTGACCGGTGTTGACCATCCTTGACCGGAAACGGACAGGGCTTACTTCAACCGAGCGACTTCGCTCAAGGCGAATTTTGCTGTGAATATTAGTAGATCGTAGCTGCCGCCCACTGTCTTGCGCTGCGTGAAATTAAAGTGGGCAGAAAGGCCATGAAAGATTTGTGCGAGCGGGTCCTATCTTATGTTGGAATTGTTGACTCTCTCGACTACAGCTTCCAAAGGCAGCATTACTATTACTATTGCCAGTCAATCCAGGAAGGCACCTAATTACTTGTAAAGTCTTGTAAATAGATTTCAAGGATGCACTTGTTCCTTTTGAGGTTAGTTAGTATATGTTAGTATTGAATATGCAGGAATGTTAGCCATACTGTTCCTTTGAACAAAATTTGAAGACATGACAAGTGGTTTCCCAGTCATTCGTCCTTTTTGGAGAATCATGTTGCAATGGCATAGTCCAAAATGGTTTAAGTGCGAAAGAAGCTGTCTTAAAAACCAAGGGCCACAGGGCTTACTGACTTGAGTTTGGTGGACTCGCAAAGCTCATCTAAGTTGAACAACCAATGTAAGACCTTTTTATGACATCTCTGACATTCTATGCATCCTTTTGCAACCTACCAAGAACCATCTCTCGTCTTTTCATCTCGTTCTTCTGGGCTCTGAGTCGGGGGGTTCCGTGCCCTTTCGGGCGCGATGTTGGCCCCAGCGAGGGAGCCCAGAACATCGACCCAACCGAAAAAGCTCCGTTTGTAGCGTCCTTGTTCCTAGTAGCGATACCAGGGGCCCCTAGTAGCGTCCTTGCTCCTAGTAGCGATACCAGGAGCCCCTAGTAGCGTCCTTGCTCCTAGTAGCGATGCCAGGAGCCCCTAGTAGCGAACCTTGTTGGCAGAAATGCAGCGTTGCCATGAAGTTGCAAGATTGAATGTGACTGCCTAGTTGCACAGAGGCAGACACGCACATTGGTATGCACAGTCACACACACACACATGCACACGCACACACTTATGGATATGCGTACTGACGGACAGCGGTGCCACACGCCGGCCTAGGGTGCCATTTCCTAAGGGTACAAGTAATAACCACGGATCCTGGAGGTCTTCAAGAGGAAATAGGGCCAAACTCGCAAGTCGAAAACGAAACGACAGGGTGACGACGTAGCGTGCAAGTCTGCGGAACTCAACTCAGCAAATGTTAAAAATCAAGCAGGTACGTGGATTCTGCGTCCAGAATCCATATCAGTGACTTGTAACAGCCTCTTCGTTGGACTGCCACTGTTACAAGCCCAGGAGTCCCCCTGCTCATTGTAAAAAAAGAGCAATTCAAAAAAGTCCCTGTGACAACAAGTGCACAGCAACATCGTGAAACACTTCAAGATTTGTGCGTGTCAATCCTTTACACTGCAACATCGTGGTACACTTCAAGATTTGTGAGTGTCATTCCTTCACAATTCAAAAGAATCCCTGTGACTACAAGGGGCACACACACACACGCCTCCCCGAGGGGAGGCAAATTTAAGGTGCCGACAGAGTAGTAGTAAGGCCAGGAACCCCAAGTAGCGTCAAAGTAGCGTCCGAGCACCTAGTAGGAAGGCCAGGAGCCCCTAGTAGCATCCCACTCTGAAGGTCCAGACAGGAGGGAGGGGTAGGGAGAGAAGAGAAGGGTGGGGGGAGAGAAGAAAGGAAGGTGTTCCCAGCTACGACACAAGCGTCCAAGGACACACCAAAAGAAGAGAGGAGAAGGGTTCCCAGCTATGACGAAAGCATCCAGGGACACCCAAGGAAGAAGGAAGGTGAAGAGAGGAAAGAAAGAAAGAAAGAAAGAAAGAAAAGAAAGAAAGAAAGAAAGAAAGAAAGAGGGAGAGAAAGGGAGAGGAGAGAAAAGGAAAAAAAGGCAGGTGTTCCCAGCTACGAACAATCGTCCAGGGACACACCAAAGAAAGAGAGGGGTGATCCTGAATATTCCATTCAGGAAAACCCCAGAAAGCAAAGAAAGAAATGGGGAGGGCTCCATCGGCGCCAAGCCAGCGGGTGAGGGGGACATGGCTGGAAAAGGAGGGAAGGTACTCATCGCTCTGAAATACTAAGTCGCCGACAGGTTCCAATGAACCGTAAACTGGCTTTGACCGCTATGGTCACCTTGTGCCTTGCCAAAATGGCTGGCTGCTTTGACCGCTGCGGTCACGTAAAGGCATGAGCCAGCTTGGAATTCCAAAAATGAGACAAAAATCTGAGTTCTCTCGGCCTAGGCCACCTTCGCCCGCTCTGGGCACTTACGGGCATGGGAGATAACGACAGACACCCGTTCGACGGGTCCACGGGAGGCACTCTACGGGCTCATCCCGGACTCTCACTGGGAGAGACACACTTATGGATATGCGTACTGACGGACAGCGGTGCCACACGCCGGCCAAACTCGCAAGTCGAAAGCGAAACGACAGGGTGACGACGTAGCGTGCAAGTCTGCGGAACTCAACTCAGCAAATGTTAAAAATCAAGCAGGTACGTGGATTCTGCGTCCAGAATCCATATCAGTGACTTGTAACAGCCTCTTCGTTGGACTGCCACTGTTACAAGCCCGGCAGTCCCCCTGCTCACTGTAAAAAAAGAACAATTCAAAAAAAGTCCCTGTGACTACAAGTGCACAGCAACATCGTGAAACAAATCAAGATTTGTGCGTGTCAATCCTTTACACTGCAACATCGTGGTACACTCAAAAGAATCCCTGTGACTACAAGGGGCACACAGACATACATATGAATCTGTATATGTATATATGCACTCTTTCATGCATAATGACACCTAGCTTGGGTCCGTGGCGAATGGTCGACATACTTTCGACATGATTTGGGTCCGCCGCGGTGTTTTTCTAAATGGGATCCCTTCGAAAGAGGTGAGCTGAACCTAAAAAGTACAACAGTAACAGGATTAGCAGCAGAATGGGAATAACCATCCTTCGCCCAAGAACCATCCTCCGGGTGTTCCAAGACCTGTCTTTTCTGGTAATTTCGGTTTGTCGATACTTCAAAGTGACCCGGTAAGCGGGGCAATAGATGAGGGCTTTGCGATGTTTGTGACAGGCTCCCCTTGACTCCCCTTGTGTAGGTGCCGCGAGGAAAAGAACAACACACAGCTGCACGATGCTGTTGCATGCACAAGCAAAAGAATAGAACGACATGACCACATGACCATGCACTTGTCAAGTAGAGTCGAAAGGAACTGCAAACCATATTCAGCTGCAAAATCCAAATGTCCAACTTTCCCCACAAGCGGATCCAAATTGTTTCTTTTTGCCAGATCGGATCCAGCTCGTTTTGCCTTCGTTGCTGGCTTCACATCTCTATTTGAGTCGAAAAAAACCGGGAATATGTATTAAGTAAGGAATGTTCCCAGAGGTTCAGAAATCGCTTGGCCACCGCTTGGTATTCTGGTGTTTAAAGTGGGTATGTTACTTCGTCGCGCTAGCAAAACGCAGGGTTGCGCTAGGTTCGCGCTAGGTTTGGCGCTAGGATCAAGTACTTAGGTAACTTAGAAAAGATTAACAAACAAGGGCTGATTGTAATGGTCACTCATTGGTGCACATACACACACACACACACCCGCACAGGCACAAGAGCAGCAACTGTTTGTAAGGGAGTAACTGTTTGAGAGACGAGAAAGCGAGTTCTTGATCACAGACGTTTGGTGGCCTCATGCACTGGCAGGGAAGCGCGCTAGATCCGCACTAGACCCGCGCTAGATCCGCGCTAGACCCCTTTGCAACTTTGACCACTTGTCCAAGTGCTTTCCAGGGTGTATAGTCTTGGCAATTTGTTTCTGTGTGCAAGAGGATGGCTACTTTCAGCTTCACATTTGGAACCATTGGACTCTGTAAGTAAGAACGCAAGCTGTTAAAAGGGCATACACAACATACAACCATATACATGAGCGCATGTTGGGTACATGATGGCCACCGCTTGGAATTGCTGTGATTTCAACCTAGGATAATGATTTTAGAACGGGGCTTTCTTTTTCAACTCATTTGGAACCTCTGAATTGCTGATCTGAAAGAAGCATTATGTGTATATATATATATATTGTTGACTGGACAGTCGCCTTCCTGCAACATGCGAACCGGCTGCTTAGATCTATTGGATCGCCCCGTATTTGAGGCTCCTGGCCCGATGTTTCCTGCGGGAAACATGGCGATGATGGGAGGAATGGGAATGCCACCTGGGCCGCCCAATGCGGGTACTGCTCCCAACATGGGATATGGCATGCAGCCAGGCACGGACCCACCTGTTCGTTTAGGTGTGAAACTTTGAGCCTTTTCTTGACAGGTGGCCTATCATCTGACGCGTGCGCCGTTTCATGTACTTTTTGCGATCCGGTTTTTTTATCATTCCCTACCGGCCCTATCCAAAAGGCCCATTTAAGACCTTAAGCCATTGCACATTGCACACGGGATGACAATGGGACTCTCTTCCCTTCCAGGTACGTTGATAAACACTTGAGGCCATTGGATGCCGAGCATTACTCGGCGGCGGGCCTGGTGCCGTGCGCCCGCAACTGATGTCGTCCTGCAGGTCCAACATGCATAACATGGCAGACCCAAAAGGTCATTTCCTGAAGCTATCCCTTGGGTGATTGGGCCAACAACTGGCGGACATCCAAATGAAGCTTACGTGCAAACGGCAAGCCAAGAGGCCATCGCTAGTAGGTTTGGTGTCTTTGCCGCCAGGTACCGAAAAAGACCAGGAGGTGGAGTTGAATTGCTGCTCGCCCGTCTTGGGCTCCAGAATCCAGATGGAACCACGTAGCGGGTTCTTAAAGACTTTGGACAACAAGGTGGTCACATTAGACATGTATGAATTCGTTATTCACATTGATTAGAATTGATTTCATGTACATTTGAGGCCTAACAAGCAACCACTTGAAGCGAGCAAAATCATCTTGGCACAAATGGCCAACCAGTTGAGCCTAAATGGTATTTGGCAGAATGTGACGTCCAAGGTGAGAAACCATGGAATTCATTCACCAACATGTATGCCGCTCGGCCCAGCAAAGATCACGCAAAATGCATCTACAGTCAAGTTGTTTTTTCGTCATGCATTCACCATCAAAAGGAATGTTTCGATCTACATAAAGGTTTCTTTGCTGCCGATGGCACTGACACATGAAGATGTTCTTGGTGGTTTGGGTTCGGGCTTTTATGTGCTGTCACAGGATCCAATAGCTTGGAATGTCTTTGGCGGCAAGCGAGTCTCGCGGCAGGACAGAAACCACCATGCAGATGGCTTTACGCTGGTGTCGGGTCAAGAGTAGCCGTGAGTAGCCCTTCCGTCTCCTCGTGTCGGGTGGTTGCAAGTACGGACTTCCACATTCTCATTCTGGACCTGAAGCCCTTTTGAGACATCTGAACCTGTGAAGGAAAGTCTTGCAACACCTTGTTTCCATTCGCCAGATGCCATATATCGAAGGACACACATTTGGTGTCCAAGCGGAAAAACCACGGCCCATGCACGGCCTATGCGTTCGTCTCAGGAGCGCTCTGTAGAGGTCACCGCTGTGAGGCTGGGGTTCTGGGGGGAATCGGACTGGGGTTCTGGGGAAGATTTTGGGACAAAACCAGACTTATGAAACCAGTGTTGTTTAGGGTGGATTCCCTATCACAACATCTTAGGTGATTCGTGAAGAAGGGGTGTCAGCGACTCCCATCAGCCGGATGAACTTCTACAGATCATCTCTCATTGCACGAAACAGACGTGTGCCTGTGCCCGCGGACACTGCAAGACACCAAACTGTGCTGCCCAGAATGATCCAAAATAACCCAAACCAGCAAGGACGCTACTAGGGGCTCCAGGCCTTATGTACTACTAGTAACAAGAAGCTACTAGGGGCTCCTGGCCGTACTACTAGGAGCAAGGACGCTACTAGTAACTATGTCATTTGGTAAACAGCCGTCCTCGGAGCGTCGACCAGCAAACGTCTGGAGCTCCGGGCCGTTGACGGGCCAGGTGCTTCATCGAAGCGGTCGGGGACTGTCCTGAGGTCGGGGTCTGTCGCGTGACACTCTGTCCGAGCGGACGGACCGTGCGGATCGCACGGTCTCCAACCGAATATAGCGATGGCCTCCAACCTACTTCGCACCACTTTGCATCAGTCTAGAAAGAGCAAGCAGATCAGTCCAACCAAACCAATGGTTGTTTAGACTCACTCCAGATTTGGTCAAATCAGCCAACTTTGCTTGAGCATGTCATGTCCTTTAGTTTGGTCAAATTCGTTGTCATGAGCTGTGGGATTTGTGCCTTTGAGAGGAGACATGGCACAATTCAGTGGCTCTAGTCATGCAACTCCAAAAGAACACACTCAAAATCATCGTTAGTAGAGGAGGCAGTATTCTTTGTGGTTGTTTTTGTTGTGTGTGTGTTTGCCTGTGAGGAACCTCAAAAGCTAGACAAATTGCCCAGATGTTCTCATTATATATGTATTCTGTATGTTGTTGTCAATGTGAACTGTTTGTTTAGGCATTACTATATTATTTTTGTATAATTATATGCTTTTCAAAGGTGGCGGTTGGTATTGCAGAGAAAAGTTTGACCAAACTACTGTAATTGGAGGGTATGGGGATTCTCAATCCTATTACGAGCTACCCAGTGCTGAAATCGAATGTCAGGCGCCGTCGGACGAGATTCTGCATAACTTAATTCCTGCAGGCTTTTACATGTGGTGCGCCTTTGATTGAGTGTGTGTGTTTTTGTGATGTTGATAATGCGGGTTGCGAAGTCTTTCGTTTCCTTCTGTGAGTTTTGCAATAGCGGGGTGAACTCAGCACACAGGGTAACGTGGAGCCATGCTTTATGCTTTGGACACTTTGTTTGTGGGGGCGCTGTTCAAAACTATTTGATCCTATTCTAGGTACCCACTTGGCAAGTTTGCAATGATCCTTGCAGAGGCGTGAGTTTGTATTGTACTGTATATAACTATAGACTATAGACTTGGTGAGAGAATCGATACTGCACATTAAGCAGCAATTGAAATTTCTTTCTAATGGCTGGGCTCAGAATGTTTACTGGCTGATTGTATACGAGTTTTCCAAGGATTTGCAGCTCCTTGCCAAGCTGCTAGTGGCTAGTGCAGTTAAATGCAGTTAAGTAGTATGCCAGAGTTGAAGCGGCCGTGTCGCTTCTTACTATCCTGCAAGTGCACTGTGAGGCCGGTCGCAGAACTGTGCATGAAAGGGCGATTTCGTTAATTGGTCGATCTCTAACGAAGGCCAAACAAAGACAGTAGCTTCTTGTTACTAGTAATGCCCTTGTTACTAGCTCCAACCTAGTAGCTTCTAGCAGTAGCAAAATCCAAAACACGACAACATCCTTCCACACAGTACACATGTTTGACCTTCGCCCCCTTGGTCAAGGTCGAGGGTGGCATCATGGATGATTTGCCAAGCAGATTCGCTGAGGCCAAAGAGGCCTAAGGGGAACGATGCCTGTCCAAAGTCGTGAGAAGAAAGTGGTCTCAACATAGGTGGACACCATTTTCAACACGTGTTTGAAGGAATTCACTAAAGACCAGATACTATAATTATATTATATTTATATACTATATATGAAATATATATAACTTTATGTTATATATGATATATAGTTAGATATTATATATTATTCTACTGCGCTGTTCGATGTTCTCAATTCATCGGCGGACGAGACTCATTCTGCAGGCCAGCCCCAGCGAGGAGTATAGAATACTACCCACGGGCGCCAAGAAGAATGGACCTCAGCGAAGCGTATATGGTTGCATTATTGATATCACTATACAGATCAGTTTGACCATCCTGTCAGAAGAAACGAAGACTTTGATGGGGACCGTGCTAGGTACTCTATAACTATAGTAGCTAGATTCCATGACAAGTAACTACTAGATACTGATGACACTGGGAGTGTTTTTCCTGTCAGAGACATTCAGAGTCCCATCTCAAAAGGACTCTCGTGCTGTCACATGCTTGAGAAGCCTGTTTGTTGTGACAGCTGTCAGGCATCTTGTGACAGCATGTGACAGCTTGAGAAGCCTGTTTGATTTCTTTTTTTTTCAATGCCTTCTTGTTGTATGAAATTGGTTGCACACCCCTCAGGTGGAAGAAACAGATTGAACAGCTCGAATGGGTGCGCTGGCCGTGGCGGAGGGGGGCAGTGTCCTGGGCGTGTTGGTTCCCTGTTGAGTGCGTGCCGGTTGCAGGATATGACGAGGCCAACAAATCCGAGGATCATACCATGTTTCCTTATTAGTGCCACACACATCGCCATAAGATAACGGACACCTGCAGAGCCAAGGAGTTTTACGATTTGTGATGACAAGATTCACCATGACCGACTCGACCAACACCTGAAGAGAATTGAAGAGAGGCCTCTCCTCGGTCGATGTTGGACTCGATATATCGGTCAATGGGAGGTCCCCGGAGATGACTTGGTGCCGGAAGCGAAGTTTGTCAAGAGCTGAGAGATGTTCGTCGGGCTAGGGCTGCTAGCGGCTAAGGTTGGGATGGGCAGGGAGCACGCCTTTTGTTGTTGCTGGTCGGCTGGTTTTGTCCCCTTTCTTCGGCTTTTTTGGGCAACTTTTTCTTCAAAGGTGTCCTCCCACAAACTCCTTCACTTTCAGCTTGGAGACAAACTTTGTTTGATTAATTTCTGCATGATAGGTGATTGCATCAGGCTTGTGTAAAACCTCAAGTCCAAACCTCGGGTTGCAGACATGGCCACCATATGTTTTGATGTATGCTGAATCTTTCTGCAGAGGGTAGAGGGCATGGCAGGGTTTCAAAGCACACCCTTTACATCCATGTCATGATAAGTTGTGTCACATTACTTTACCCTCTGATTTTTTGGCATCTTGGGCACGCTCACTAGCGGCTCACTAGCGGCTGGCGATTAGAAAGGCTCAACTAGTGTTGGTAAAGAGAAACTGGGCAAGATCTTGATGGTCAAAATGGCATCGTTACCACTAGTGGATACAATACTATTATTGCTATTACTAATAGCCTTTTTGCATGTATGATCTTGTCTTTCAGGATTTCTGCATTTCTAGGATTCTACACTGTAACTCTGAGGCAGTGAGTGACTTGCTCACCAACATGCTCAACGCACCGCCTCCAGCTATTTGCAAAAAGAGAGAGATCTATTTTTAAAGAGTGCTCAGGGGACATGACGTGGGTTTCTTCCTCTGATTTCTTTCTTGTCCTTTCATCTTTGTCCAATCACACTTTCAGTGGTTAAGTCCGGCAGTAAAATCAGAGTGAGACCAACTACGTATCACACATGTTTTCTTTTTTCTGAATCTGCGCAGTGCCGAAGAGCATTACTCTTATGTCGTTCCAGCTGTCCTTTGTCCTTCATTCGCTTCAGGGCATTGACATGGGGCAGCAGTTAGGTTGAGATCCATTCAGAGGCAACATACACTGTAACATACTGCACTCAGACTCATATGATCTACCGCACTTCGAAGTGGATGGCTTTGAATCGTCCACGTTGTGCAGGTGACCAAGTTTCTGGACTTCTTAACGGGAAGACTGGATCCGGTGAAGCCGGCGTGCTTGCGAGATCTGCCAAACAGTGGAGGGGATGTTGAGCCCTGATTGACTCAGAATGACCCTAGATATTGAGCCTTACATAGCCTTACAAATTGAATCATATTCAAACTTTTCGAGAGCAACTCCATTCATTTTGAACGTGTTGAAGGCACGTCAACACCAGCTCCAGCCACCAGGCGGAAGCATTTCCCAAAGGGAGTGAAAAGCCACGGCAGCAGACCTCAGCATCCCAATTCGGAGCGACCTCGGTTCAGAGCAACACCCCTTCGGAGCCACGGTTCAGTCGTCGAATCTGGGCACAGATGTAGCAGGCCACCTCGACGTCGCAGCTTCGACGTCGCAGAAGACGCTCAGGCCATTGGAAGGCAACACTAGCTACAATGGATGGAAGAGCAAGGGCAAAGGAAAGGCAAAGGCCACAACTGGTTGCCCAAACAGTCATGATCTTGACAGTCTCATTGGCATTATGGCATTGCTGCTTCACTCGACAGCTTTCGATTCGCCTAGTCTTTGGCCGCTTAAAACCCCCCCAAGACGTGCTTTTCAAGACGTAGTTGCTTCAAGGTTCTCACCAATCCACCGCGCCCCACCACGCCCGACCCATTGAGAATAAGGGACCCTGGAGCGCCAGGGCAAAGGAAAAGGTGGCAAGGATGGGAAAGGCACGCCATTGGGTGGAGCACTGTTGCAGACACTAGGTGGACCTGGGGTGTTGAGAAGCTGGTGTCTCTACTCAAGGCTGCAAGGGTCCATTCGAGTCTTCCCACTAGTAACAAGTGCATCGCTAGTACTAATAAGGGCATTATACTGGCATTACTACTAGTAACAAGAAGCTACTAGTAACAAGTGAATTTCTGTTAGTCGCAAGAAGTTACTAGTAGCGATGCACCCTTTTCTTTCTGCAAGGTTTTGGCAAGATTGCTCCCATGTCCCTTGGTCGAATCGTGGGAGAGAAACTTCAGCATCCAAATTGATTGAAGTGACTCGTTCTGTCGCAAGAACTAACGGGGAGGGTTGCGTCAATGTTTATGTGAACTAAGCGCATTCTTGATAGATCCTCGCTCTTCTATTGTTCTACTTCTCATCTCCGACCCAGCCAAGGTATGGGAAAGGGTTTCCCATGATGCAACTGCCAATGGCGCCGTGTGCCAGACTCGTTTTCCTGAGAGAGCCAAGACACGATGTCGATATTGGGGCCCCATCGGGCCATCACGCAGAACGCCTGCAGAAGCCTGGCATGCTCAAGGCCTCACGGAACATCCACCTCTAAACCCCTGCAAAATGGTCCAACATGCCCCAGCAGCGGACTGGGCCCACCTTCACTGGCACCATATTTGCACTCTGGGAAGTGCGAATCGATTTCTCCATGGCACAACTGCTGTGCCAGGGCTCCTCCGATGCCAATGTATGCAGCACCGCCTGCTCCCTTGCCTGGCTCCGAGGACGAGTAGCATGGCACTAGCAGCGGTTCTGACTGGGACTAGCACTAGATAGAAAATTTGTTAAGAGATCTTAAGAGTGAAGAGCTTGCCCGAACGCTTGAAACTTGAAAGGGGTTGTGGAGGAGATGCAGCGCCAGATGCATGGAGAGCAGCTCTATGTTCTGGCAGGGCACCTCGAAGAGAAGCGAAGAAAGGCTTCTGCCGCTGCTTTTGCCAAGAACCTGCCAGATGGCATCACCAAGCAAATATGAGGGTCGATGAGGTTTGAATTGATGTGGCTAGAGCCTAGAGCAGTTCACCTCAAGGTGCGAACATGTGTCAAGAATTGGAGACAAGCGTTCAAGGAATCATACAGGAATCAGACAAGTCAAGAATTGGTGATTTTAGTTTGTAGCTGCACCGGTGAAATCTGATCGATTGAGGTCCTGCCACTTGCGCCCAGTCCATACTTGGCGCAGAAGATCACAGGCGGCTCAATCCGTGGAACGAAGTATTAGGCTTTCTGCAGATGATGCTTTGCAATCGTGAAGAGCCTATGTGTAAGTTGAACTTAAATGTCAGGTATGTTGCTTGAACTCCCTGAGAATGCGGAAGCCCCAGCCCAGGGTGGAGCTGGGCGCAATCATTTTTGCAGAATCTGCGGAGTGTGTCCGCGGCATATACCTTTTACCCGGATCTTCATTTGCTTGTACCAATTCAGCGGATCAATAAGGGATCTGTCTTGGCAACATAAGGGAAACCGCAAAGCTCACAAAAACATGCCTCACTGTAGGGGGTGGGAAGTTAGCATGTGCTTGTTTGTTCCTCTTCTCCCAAGGCCCGAGTCTGAGTCCATTTGAGTTGCTAGTAGAAATGCCCTTTGTTGTAGCTTCTTGTTACTAGTAGCTACGGCCAGGAGCCCCTAGTAGCTTCCTTGCTCCTAGTAGCTTCTCTAGTAGGAAACCACCCAGGAGCTCATGCTGAATTTGACCGACCGAGAAGAGCTACAGCACCGCGTCACGGAGGCCGCGTCGAAAGCGCCCCGAGTGGTCCGACGGGTCTGTGTGCTCTGACAGTGAAAGACAGACTCAGTTTGAGAACAAAGGGAACAAAGGGCATCGCTACTAGGAGCAAGAAGCTACTAGGAACAAACGGCATCGCTACTAGGAGCAAGAAGCAACTAGGAACAAAGGGCATCGCTACTAGGAGCAGGAAGCTACTAGGAACAAAGGGCATCGCCACTGAGCAAGAAGCTACTAGGAACAAAGGGCATCGCTACTAGGAGCAAGAAGCTACTAGCAACA